ACATAAGGGACACTGGCAATCTCACAGTAATATATCGTTTTACTAAATGGCCTCAAGCAACACCAATCAAAAGCATTCTTACACATACAGTTACAAAAACATTATTGTCATAATATCATATCATAACAGTTTCACAACAGACGTTGAACCTCTTCTTTCCAACCTGCTGTCCAATTCTCTAATTTGACAACAAGACAAAATTTCACAATTTATAAAAACCTTAGGACCCGAATGACTTATCTTCTTGATATTTCTTCATTTAATGCATAGCAGCTCAACAGCTTAATATTCGGAAATTTTATTAATTTGACACACGCGTTGTTTTTATCTACAATAGAATTTAGATCAGCGTCTTTTTTAAATCGTTGCTGGTGCACGAAAACCTGATACCTTGCTCAAGCTCCCGATTAGCTTCATAATTAATTGCTCCCGCATCTAGGTATAGTGAACAGTATTCATGCGTCCCATCTATACCACAAGTATTTGAACCCCTCAATATGCAACCCCATACCATGATGGTGGTACCACCGTACTTACTGTAAGCATAATAGAATCCAAACCAAATTAACAGAAGACCAGGAGCTTCGACGGATGGGTTGTTAATACCATTAATGCCAGTTATTTTAGCAGAATATACTGGGTCTTTAAAATATATTTAAGAAGCATAGCTACTGTTTGTGTATAGTAGTAAGCTACTCTTATCAAAACCTCTTCATTACACAACATTAAATAAAGTAAGTATCGGATTGGGTTGGAGATATGGTAAATCGAATGAAATCTGTTGTACCTCGATAAATAATATAATATGATATATAACTGTGCTTGGACCTTAACAAATATCTAAACCTAAGTGAAACATCACTCAAATCCTCATAGTGTTCAAAATCCACCCTAAGTAATATGATTAATTGCAGGACAGTCTTTAACCAACAGTAACACTGAAAACGTAAATAAATCTCTTGGTGCATCTCATCCTAGAAAGGCCATCAGAAACAATACACAAATTGTTTATCAAGTTTATCCTCCGCATCATAGCCATCCACACTGGTATGACCTCAATAACTTTATTGTCGTCTGCCTCTAACAAACGCAACCGAAACTGTTTAAATATGTTCTGTTCACAGCGTAATATTCTAGCTCAATAGTAATATTCTTGCATCATGGACGTGATAAGTGGTCAAGTAGGTTTAGTCTTAACTTCGCTGGACGGTACAGAGGATGGTGGGCAATATCTCGAAAAGGGCTGTAATACTATAGTGAGGAACTTCTCTGGTGATCTGGTTTGTCCAGTCTAGTTAGGAAGTGATGACAGTGAAGACAACCATTTGAGAGAGATTTGTCTTCACATGTTTCGTGTTCAGGAAAAGACGCATTGAAATAGTGATTATAATGAAGAATTAGACTGTACAGGCCTACGAGCCAATGCTATTATGATTAGCAGTATACATATAGCTTCCAAGTTAGAAATATTTATTGTTGAGAATGGTTCCCACTCCAGACAACTTTAATACTCTCCTTGCTATTCTGAATAAATAGAAAAATTCCTTGATACATTTGAACTTGACTATCTGGTGCATATTTTCTACATCCAAACGGGTCGATTTTGTAAGTGATCTTCGGAATTGCTCATGACGTACAGTATAGGTGCCTTAAAACCTCGCTGTTACCATTATTATTAATATTACTAATTGTAAGTTATGAAGTGACTCTTCCGAAATATTGGTATATAGGTTGGACATTTTCTTGTTAAGTGTTTTACTGAAACACTTACTTAATGTTTCTTGTGCTCTATATCCGTATTAGTTTAGATTTTTTGATAAAAGAAATGCAAAAAGATTCTCGTTTATTATTCTAACGGTCCCAACATAAGATAATTTTCTTTTATCTAGATTTTTGACATGTGTTGAATTAATGAACAGACGAATTAGTTAAATCGTAAAATTATTTCAATACTTCAGGATGGTGGTGAGACAATTTTCCACAAAATAATTCCTGCAAAGCATAAAAAATTCAAAAAATCTTCTACTTCTATATGACTTTATACAACAACATACAAAACAATGTGTGCTAACTGAAAATATGTGTGTTGTGTCATATATTGAGAACATATGAGATGCAACTGACAATTTGAGTCCTCAATTTTTGAAATGTCAACGAAACTTACCATTATATTTTAACTTGTTAATATGGCCATCAACATGTTTCATTTAATTTTTCAATATGACACCTAAACATATACCATATGTTTTCCATTTATCATACATAACATTATATTCAAATATTACATACATTTCTAAGAACTCCAAAACAATTTTAGTAAGATAAAGAATATTTATTGGACTATTTACATTAGCAACTTCGATGGTTATTATCTGAGGCATCTCTTCGGCAAAAAGAAATTTATTACTGCAATTCTCTAACCGAAGTTTGATCACCGGTCACAATTTTGTTTAAGAATTCATCTCCATCATTGTATCGAGCAAGAAATGTCAAAGAACTTCCAAGTCGCTTCGTTTTGCGAACATCTGTGAGCATTTTTGGAACCCAACGGGTATACAATTTCCGATAATTTAATCGTTTTGTGACAATCTTATGCAATACAATAGATCAAAACGGTACTTATTTTCCGGACAAACCTCGTATATTATAAATAGAAGTTATAAGTAACCTGTACTAAACGTATTTTCTAGTCAATTTATTCAATTTAATACAATCAAGAAATTGTCAATCATAATTGAGTAAGTAAGCAATAAGCAAGGAGACTACAATTTATACATGAAATTTTTAGTGAGCTGTCTTAATATTTATGGTAATACCGAGAGGGCAGTATTATCAATCGTTACAGTAATGTGCACTTCAGATATTAGTTTGGTAGACGCTTTTTTCCACTTTTTTTTATTTTAGTTCCTGCATTCAAGACGTCAAAGGTCAATAACATTGTAAATGAGCAACAATCGCCAAATTTCCGTCAAATCACCGTTCTTTCATAATTTACTCTTCGCAAGCTTATTAGGAGTTGATTACAGAAAATGTTGTTTCTTATAACATGTCAGTTTAAGGCCACTAGAGATAAGCGATATTTTGCGTCTATCTTATTTAGCGCTTGATATTCTTGTACAAATGTCTTCACAACACACAATGTTTTCTTTAAATCAAATAGAGTTGCAAATAAAACGTTGTCGACGTAATGTGTTGACTACATGTTTGAATTTGTTATCATTAGTTAATTATTAGTTCAAATTATCATCAAATGTTGGTCATAAATGTCATGTTAATGTTGTTCAACAAATTATGATTGAGATCTTCACCTCATTTAAAATTTTTGAGGATTGTTTAGTGTAAGATATACTTGTAATTTTAAATACAATGTAAGAAAAATAATTTATTCATCAAGTATTATCATATAACAAGATGTTCTTGGCAGGTTGGCAAAATCCATATTTTTGCCATTTCGATATATTGAGTTTGGTGAGAAGCTCGAAGTTGCTTCGCATTGATTTAAATAAAATAGTAATATCAATTTTAGATGCCTGCTTCATAAGATGCCATATTCTTTCTACTTTATTCGACATAAACATTTTATTTGAGCCGAAAATTGATTAATAAAACGTAGAAGTATATTGCTTTGTCTCCATATATAAAATGTTTACGTTTCTTTTTCGGCAGATGTGGCAGTGTATCTTAGGACTCCCCCTCCTTGTATTGACAAATCCCTAGCATTACAGATAAATTAAGATTTTTGAAAGTATGTTGTGGATTGTATCCAATTTATTGGAGGACGATAATTTTCCTGGAGTAGAATTAGATTTTCTACTTTTACAAGATTTTGTTGGCCACACATTCGCCAGTAAAGAGTAATTTTAAAATATAATAAAGAGTCTCTCATTAAATAATCCACTCCACTTAATATCTATTTTTATTACAAACAACCCCAACATTTTTTTAATCTACTTAAATCCATTAGAAAATAGAATCATTAAAATCTCTTAAACAAATCTCATATATTTCCTTTAAAAAAACACTATTTTAGCCGTACTTAATCCAATTTTACGAGCCAACACATAATTAATAAACATAGCCAGACCCCCATCGGCGACGATAAAAGCACAAGAATCTCGTAAATCCGTGTTAAAAGCGTTCACATGCACCGCCTTTCTAATGAAGATATGAGTGAAATGAGCTATTAATTTTTTTTTTGTTACTTAAAATCTCGCTTCACCAAAGATACACTAAAGGCCAGCTGATAAAACACATTGAAGTTTAAAAAGGTCCTCGACATCACGAGTTGAAAGGATATGTCTTCTTTGTCTTCTTTTTTTGTGAAGACGCTCAATTAATAAACATGTCAGTTCAACAGCTGGAATAACTTGTTGAGGTAATAAAGTTAATGCTGTTTGTGGCACTTTACGTATCAACAGAAATTTTATCTTTATAAATAACTTGTATGATTAAAGTCTTGAGATTGATAAGAATAGGTCATGGTCATTTATTAAAGTGAAGGAGTTGTTTATAACATCGAATAAATCCATCAGTTTACATAAAAGTTAAAACGGAGCAGATTTATTTCACCAACCATCGGGAAGCGAAAGGGTGAAAAGTTATGCTAATTTAAAATGCGCTTGATTTATCTCTCAAGCATAAAACATAAATCACACAACCCTTCCTCTTCTCATACCTCCTTCCTATTTTATCCGATTTTATCCTCGCAATATACATACATATTTTATTATCTTTTTTAATTATTTCAAATTTCTTTGACTTAAGTAATTAAATTAACTTTAAAAATAAATATGTATACAGTAATACCTATTGAACAGCTATCCACACCGTATATCCTTTTATATAACTAAACTATAACTAAAACTAGAACTAACACAAACACTAGCTCTAGAACTAACACTAACTCTAAAACTAGAAAGTCTAGTGTTAGTTCCAATTAGCGTCATGTTCATATAAACATGGAATATTATGAGTTAATTATATTTATATCTTTGTTTTAGATTGACTCAAGGTATGCAACAAAGTCAGTTATCACAACAAATTCCAGCAGGAGGTGGACCACTTCAAGGTCCAGGACAACCACCTCCTCAACAAACACCTTTGGTGATGCCAGTTTTTCCCTTGAGACCCGCCCAATCATCACACGCTCCACATTATTCGCCATATTCACCGTCCAGGTTTCATATTGACAAGAGATGCCAACACAGGTGCTCTTGGAAATGTTTCAGTATAGCATTGATACTGTTGAGCGTGGCACTAACTGCAATGTTAGCTTATTTCGCAGGTAAGGTAGCTTTTTAATGTTTTCTTTTTACTCTCGTTTTCCAATTAATGAAATTTAATTACTTCAGATCCTATAGAAACTTTTTCTATTCGTACCCCTCGTTTTTTTTTCTATGCTTTTTGTCCTTTGGCTCGCCCTCTATTTGTTCGCCGCGGCGGCGACCCATTCTTCCTTATTAGAAACGAGGCGTTGTGTCTGCCACAATAAAGCGGGATCCCCTTTCTCTGTGATGTCGTGTTTTTGGGGGGAGAGCCTCAACTTTTATAAATCCGCGATTTCCTATGGCCTAACCCCATTGTGCTTTTAATTTATTTGACAAAGAGAAAAGTAAAAGCCGTTTTAAAATCGGGATATCAAAAGGGAAATGGGAAATAAAAAATTTTTTTGAATGATTTACATTCACATTTTATACGTTACTTGAAAACCTGAATCGATTGTAAGTTTTGAATACTGTTAAAATTCTTTCAGTGGATATTTGAAATACAATTTCAACGAGAAAGATTTTGTACAAGTTTTATACACTTTTATAGTTTATGAATAATTTTGAAGTAATAAAAATTCGGTTATAAATCTAAAGTATAAATCGTGTAAATCGTTTTTAAAGCTTTATAGAGATTTTCTAGATTTAACAACTTATTTAAGGAATCTTTTTTATTTTCTTTGTGTAATATCAAATAATACTTGAGCAACAATTCACGAGAATGTTTAATCTCACTGCCATCTCACCATTTATACAACGCGATATGTTGCGCATTTCTGCTTCTGCATTTACTCTTGGACCAATGAATTATTACGCAGGCGATATCAATATGGGAGCCAGCTTATGAGGGACATTACTGTAAACCTATTGAGACACCAACAGAAACTTAATCCGCATGGCTCCAGAAGATATTGAATATCTCGTAACCCTAATTGTTCCGAAAGGTGAAAGAGTGGATACAAAGTTGGATAGAATTATTATGAATTCTCGGAAATCTATAAAAACCATCTGGATATCTTGTAAAATATCTGGAAACTCTGAAAAATACCAAAATATCCTTATAATATCTTTGGAAATTCTTGAAACTTCTTGGAAATCTTTGAGAAATATCTGGAAATCCAAAAACTTTTTTGAAAATCCCTATGCATCTTAAGGGAATCTTAAGATCTCTCAAAGAGAATCGATTTTGAAATTAGAAGATACTCTTCTAGTAGTAACTCATAGATATAATTGGAAATATAACAGTTCCTGGATATCCTTGAGAAACCTTACAAATTCTCTAAAAATTCTTGAAAATCGTCTGAAAATCATATAGAAGTACTTAACAGTAAGTGCAAATCCCTAAATATTCCTAGGATCCCTGAAATAACTTTAAGATAGCATATATTTTTGAACTAATATCTTGATCATCTTGACAATGTTCCTAAATTCCTTCAAAACCTTGGAAAATAATCATAATAAAAATTAATCAAAGAAATATCTAACTAATCATCTAAGAATTCGTGGAAACCAGGTAACTTTAGAAAATTCTTGGATATTCTTAGAAATCCCTTGACATTCATAGAAACTGTTATAAATTCTATAACCCCTGAAAATGATTACAATATCGTTCTAGGTAGAATCTAAATAAAATCGAGCATATTACATTGAAATTCTTATGCATTTTCAGATATTCTTAGAATATTTGAATAGTGTTAGTAATCCCTTAATTTCATTAGAAATTATTATGAATTCTCTGGAAAGTCTTTCTTAGAAATCCTTAAATAGCTATATGATACAGTTCTATGTTATCTGGAAATCCTTCAACATCGTCTAAAAATACTTGATTTTAGTCTTTTGGAAATCTAAAATCCTTGATAATAAGCTAGAAATTACATTCAATTTGGTAACTTTGAAAATTCCCACACATTCTTAACAATAACTTCTCTGAAAATGTTTGAAATTGTTTCTGGAAATGTTCTAGGAAAATTTCTGGAAATTCTTTTGTATTTCTAATTAATAATAATTCTGGAATAATTCTGGAATTTATAATTTTCTGGAAACCCGTGAAATTCATTTGAATATGTAACACAAATACCTAAGGATTCTTAGAGAACCCTGATTTGACAATAAAGGGTTTATAAGCTCTCTAGAAATCCTCCAAAATCCATTAAATCCTCTAGAAATTACCTAATAAAGGTCGGTAAGATTTCTTTAATGTTCTTAAAAGTCCTTAGAAATTCTTTAATGTTGTTATCGTCATCATCATTAGTATTCAGCCCTATTGCAGATCCTTGAATTTCTCAAGCTTCTATGTCCATTCCTTGTCTCTTGCTGGTGTTGTCCAGTTCGTATACCCATCTTCTTAGCGTCTTCCGTCACATCATTTCTCCTCAGTAGTTTAGGTCTTCCCCTACCTCTAGTAACTATAGATTTTGCCATAAATATCTTTTTTGCTGTAAATACCTCTATAGTTGTCATTACATCCCGATTTCCATCTAATCCATAGAATTTATATAGTTCAAAGTTGTACCTACTTCTCCATATTCCATGTTTATAGATCCCCCGTATATTCCACGCAGTACCTTTCTTTCGAATGTGGCTAGCATAGACTCATCTATTTTTGTTAAGGTCCACGCTTCGGAACCATATACCAAAATGCGTATTATAAGGCTGTTATAAATTGGAGACAGGCCGAAATAGCACTTATTTCCACATAAGATGCGTATCTACCCTGACTGATGTTCTTAGGTACTCAAATTCTGCTACAGCCTCAAAGTTCTGGTCACTATTTGTAATGTTCTGTTCACCATCTCGCGGTCTTCTATTATCTTCTATTATAAAAGATTTGGTCGACTGTGAAGCATAAATTCTGGGTTCTGCATAAATTCTTATTTTTTTTCGAAAAGGGTGTATGATAATTTGATAATACTTTTATATATTTAAGTATGTATTTGAAAACTAGAAATCTTTGATAATTCTCATAAATTCTCTCATAAAAATTTTAAAGTGAGTGAAAAGTTTGTAAATCCGGATAATTATATAAATATATTAATCGTAAAAAGAATACAGATAATTATTAATTTAATTAACTAATTACTTACAGATTAGAAAACAGTACCGCCAGTATTGTACTCTTTACGTCCATGTACATCCAAGGTGACTTTGATCACTAAGGATCTTGGCAAGGTCCTCTAAAAGCGTAACATCGGATTATTGACCTACTCGGCATGATAGAGACACTGGAGATCGTTTTAGTATCGTTTAGTGCTGCTACAATGTTAAATCTTCAAACTCAGTATCATCGGTATTAAGGCCACTAGCTTTATTTCGCGTACTTCTGTAAGGAATTGATCAGTAACAGCAAAAGAAATAAAATTATGGATTACTATATCCAGAAACATTATAGTCTGATGTTTATAATGTCATGCCCGGAGAACATGCAATTGGCTAACTGCGGCTACCTCTTTGTTTCTGGTGGAAAGACGGTAACCGCGCAATCATATCCCTAGTTCCTAGTATGTCCGCAACAGATTCTCCAATGTAATTGCTTCTCGTTTCAATACTAGTCTACAAGCATACTCCGATAGTTCTCTAAGATGCATTTTGTTCGTAACCAACATTGGGTATATATAAAACATAATGTTTTCTACGGCGCCTCGTTTCAGGAAGACGACTTACCGCTTATTGTATTTTACGGAATATTTCTCTTAATGCTGCTGCTTCTCAGAGTACTACTATATCACGATATCATAACACAACATTTTTCATCGTCTTGATTTCGCGTCATTCTATTTTGATAAAGTGACACTTCAGATCTGTCACAAATTTTTCTGGATCTTCGATGAGAGGCTTCAGAAACAGGGTTCCAAGAGTCAAAGGTGCAGTTCTGCAGGTATTTTAGAAAAATTGTTTGTAAATTACAGTATCAGGAGTATGACATCTGAGTTATAAGCGAAGGATAAACTTTTTTAGCCTTCATGGTGGTTTCGCTTCCCTTTTATGTTCGTCTTTGGGCTCCAGACTTGTTTTCTGAATGGAGATAAAACAGACCAGCTATCGCAGCGGGTATACATACATACGTGGTAATGTCGTACGGATGTAGCCAAAAATAGTTATAGTACTTATTTACAAACAACGTATTTACACCACAAGAGTGTTCTTACTTCCACAGTAAATTCTTTGTCGAATTTGGTTCAACCAAGCAATAATTTGTTGGTACCTATCCTATGATGGTTGCCGAGACAGATAGTCCAGAAATGTATTCTCCCATTACAGTACATATTCAACATCAAATTTGAACTTTTGTTATAAAAGGTCGATTACTATTTATCGACCTAGTATTATTAATACTATTTTTGCGGTATTTTTCTTCCTTTCTGATTAATTTGACGCTATCAAATGAAAAAAGGTTGCCCCCGCCTCCTGGTAAAGTACTCCCACCATACCCTTTTTACTGGATTAAGTTTAAAAAATAAATGTATGCTCTGTCTGTTTTTGATGAAGTTGCAAAGGTCGATTTAACCCTTGCTTGATGTCCTTAAGAACTTTTTCTGTATCTACAGCCTACAGCCTAGCGGAATTTAAAATTTCTCAAAAATAGATGAACGTAGGAAGACTGAAGACGATAATATCGTCAACACAGACTAATTCGATTCTGCGTCTGCTGGGTAAAACCGTCTGTGTTATCTGGGAACGCAACACACAGAGTTGATAAGTAACCCTTGAAGGTGTTGTAAATGTTGCGATGGGCTTTGATTCTTTTGCAATCAGAACACGTCAGTAACCATAACACAAATCCTAACTGGTAGAGTGTCTTACTGAAAACTTTATCGATTATTATCAGGAAAAACCATAATTAATTTAATTGAATTATTATCAAATGTAAAAACAATAATCTCTTTGATAATTAATCATTTCACGTCCACTTCTTATTAAGAGATTCTCAAAACTAATAGTTCTTTCAGCTCTATCTGGGGTAGATGCAGTTTTTGCTCTTTCTTCTCAGAAAGATGTTGATTCATTCATGTAATCTCTGCCCTTGCCTGAGATATTCGCTATTGTGATGAATCAAAACCACGGGTTATGATAATCTTTGATAAAGTAAACTTATTAAAACCACCGATGTCCATGGATATTTAAGTTTTTCTTTAAAAGTAATATGTACCTTTTTATCTATAATAATTCATATATAATTATTTCTTCTAATCGTACAAATCCTTATTAAAGCTTTAAAAAGATTTTCTAAATCATTTTAAACTTTTCAAAGTAAAACCAGAGTTATAAAAGATTTCTAATGAAAAATACACAAATTAAAACTTATCGCAAAATTCTTTTTTTTAATATTTTTTACATCTAGTTAATTACTCTCACGATAGTACCTCTAAAACTTACGAAAGCATTCCGGTTTATTAAACTTTAATTCGTCGCTTTTATAAACGACCGCAAATACACCAAAAAACTTTTGATTAAACTTTACTAACTCTACAAAACCCTTAATACCTTTTACGCAGCTTTGCTTTAACATTAAATATACAAAAATCATCCTTTTTTTATTTTCTCAACTTCAAAGAAGGTTATAATCAAACACAGACAATGTTACATTAATTAATACCAAAATTCGCGTTTTATTATTAGCTGTCAGCTCTATGAAACCCAGCATGGATTCTTCAAATTGTATTATTGTTGGGGATGAAAAAGATGTTACACATGACCAAATGACTCAAGGATCTGTTTCAACACAACAACCAACAGAAGGTAATAATTTTCTTAAAAAAAATATATATCGTTTATTTAAATAAATCTTTATTATTTTTTTAGAGCGCTATATTTCAGAATCACTTCCAACAAGTACAGCAGAACATTCCAGTGTAACAACCCAACATATATCACTGCAACAACCGCAACAGCAAAGTCAACAACAAGCGCAATGGCCACCTCTATTAGAATTACGCGAATTAAATACGGTTCATGCCGCGACGATTCCTCCCTATCAATTTTGGAATTCGGAATTTCGTAATAAACAACCCGCTTTTATTCGGTTCAACTTTACGCTTCCGTGGGGCGCGAATTTCGCGGTTTACGGAAGAAGAAACGTTGCCCCCAGCGTAACCCAGTACGATTTCGTCGAGTTCGTTAAGGGAGGTCGCGTTGATCATCGACTAAGAAAACGTAGGGAGGTGAAAATGCCAAAGAAATCAGATGTTTTGGATACGATTGTTAGTTCCTATGAATCCGCCAGAAGAATTATGGCGGATTCTCAACCGAAAGGTCCGTTTTATGTTCCACCAGAGAAAGTTGTAAAAGATTTAAACGATTTAAGTAATGTAAAAGGTTCAAAAGATGATGAACGTTTTTATGATGGTTATTATTCTTCTTCATTTGATGACGGTGGTTTTGAATTACCAAAACCGACCATTGATCTTGGCTTTGAATTTGATGAACATGTTATTTCAAAACGAGAAAGTGATATGGAACCAATGTTGGTAAATGTGAGCTTGTTACAATATTTAGATACAGGGAGATGGTTTTTATCGGTTTATAACGACGAATTACAACCTCACAGCGTTTCTTTGGTAATTTCGGAAGCTGAAGGAGTTAGTACGACTTGTCCAAATGATTGTTCCGGAAGAGGATCTTGTTATTTAGGAAAATGTGATTGTATCGATGGATTTCAAGGGGTTGATTGCTCTAAAAGTAAGTTCTTCAAAAAATTGTAATAAAAAAAGTGAAGGGTTTTATTTAAACCGTGTAGAGTTGGCGGTTCAACTCGAACCGTTCATTTTCAGGTAGTCCATTAAGGGGGGTGAGCATTCGGAAGCAAAACTGGGTCACCCAGCCCTTTGTTCCACTAATGCGCCCCCCTTTTATCCCCGACTAAACGGGGGGTACGGTGGATTTTACAAGGGGACTCTCTCGTACGGTACTAGGTGCCTCTTCTCCACGCGGGTTTTGGCCCTTTTGCCCTTTCTCTTGTCTATTAATCATTAGTACCAAACCCGTGGTAAGCCGCGTCGAGCTTCGCGGTTATTATTTTTTGAGATTAAGGGCATCCCTTTAATAATCTCGACGAGTTCTCACGACCTGTTCATAAAATAACCCCATTAACATTTACAGGCTAAAATTAACGTGCATAAACACCTAAAATTTTAATTCAAAAAAGATAACACTTTTTTTTTAATTTTAATAGGTATTTGTCCAGTTCTTTGTTCGGGACATGGCCAATACGGTGGCGGTTTGTGTCATTGCGAGGAAGGTTGGAAAGGGCCTGAATGTGATATTCCAGAAACAGATTGTCGCATTGCTGATTGTTCGGGTCACGGTCAATGTGTAAGAGGTTCGTGCCGATGTAAAGCCGGATGGAAGGGAGAAGTTTGCGATGAAGTAGATTGCGAAGATCCCACTTGTTCCGATCATGGAACGTGCGTTCAAGGCCAATGTTACTGTAAGGCTGGGTGGCAAGGTGAAAGATGTAATCGAATCGACGAACAAGTTCATAAGTGCTTACCTAGTTGTTCCGATCATGGTGTTTATGATTTAGAAACAGCTAAGTGTATTTGTAATCGGCATTGGACTGGGCCGGATTGTTCTCAAGGTAAATATTTTATACTTAAGATAAACATAATTCTTTTTGGGCAATCATTTGAGATATTAATTATATAAAAATTGCTTTTAAATTATTTTTTTCATTATTTCTAAACACAATTCGGTGCTTGTAGTTATAGTTTAGTAACTTCCCTTTGCAACAAACGTCATTCCTACTACTAAAAGACAGCAACAGGTTATAGACAATGCTAGGCGGAAAAGGTTGTGATGTAAGATGCTGTAGTGCTACTGGAAAATATCTTTTTGTATCAATATTGTGTTGAACTGCAAATCTCTGATATTCTTTTCTGTACCAACAAGTTTGGTTGAAAGAATTCCCAATAACACTAAATAACTGCATATGAATTTTCAAAACCTCTAGTTGCGAATAAGTTTGATGAATGAGCAAAGAAGGATGATCAACGTGTGTTTTGAAATCTGCGTAGATTGCCTTAGAAAACTAGGATATAATAATTCAACAAATAAGGATGATATACCTCGACAGAAAAATCTAAGAAAATGAAGATAACATTACCAAACAAATGCAGAACATTTAGACATTCTTGGTTTTCTGAAAAAGTCGATCTTCTTGTTAGCAACAACATCCATTAGAAAACTAATAAGAAAGATGTAACATCTATACCACGTTAATGTCAAATACATATGAAAAATTTAAAGTATTTTTATGAAATTATAAGAACTGGTACATATGTATAGATTTATGTGATCTAATATCTGGTCATGGTGAAATGTAATCATCAGAAAAGTAGCTTTCAAGAAGCACAACACCAATGGTTTCATGATTTCAAAACTTATGCAATATCATGAAAAGCCAAGTTCAGTTTGAACAATATCAAGACCTTCTAAAGAAGAAGAAAGAGAATTTGTAGCATATCGATGCCTTATTACCTCCAGAAATAAAGGACAGCGTTATCGTAAGATATACCAACATACTCTTGGACACAAATATTAGGTTACAAGAAAATGACTGAAAACACACCAGCCAAATTCTAAGTTCGAAGAATAAGTTTATAATTGCAATTACCTAACTTCTAATTGAAAGAAAAAGTCTGGGATTAAATTGGCCAACCCTAAATAAAAAAAAAATCAAAAATCTGCACCAGTCAGATTTCATCAAGAAAGCAGAAATTACACTGTCCATCCTCTACAATGAAGAAAGCTTGCCTGAGGAATGGAGAAAAGTAATATACCCCATATACACGAAAGAAGATAAGCTTGCATGTCGAAACTATCGTGGCGTTACGCTGCTATGTATAGGGTATAAACTGTTCACACATATCCTGAACCAAAAACTGGAACTTTTTGCCGAAAACATCATAGGCGAGCACCAAGCAGGTTTTTGCAAATATTTACCGTTAAGCAGATACTAAATAACGCCTGAGAATATGATGTCGACGTGTTTACTATATTTGTGGACTTCAGGCAGGCTTACGACTCCATTATTAGAAAGCAAGGTTGATACGACTTGTTTAGATCGCACTGACGGACACCAGAGAGTATCTACGCATACAGAGCCAACTTACGGACGACTTTCAGGTCTCGCAGGGTTTAAAGCAGGGAGATGGGCTGGCCCCCATCCTTTTTAATCTGGTGCAGGAATATGTAATAAGGAAAATGGAGTTAGAGGGGACAGGCTTGCTAATCAACAAAACAGTGCAGTTGACGGCATATGCGAACGACATAAACATAATGAGCCGAACACTAAGCGCGGCAGAATGCTGAAGGATGGTGCTGAAGCGGTGGGGCTTAAGATAACAGGCTCAAGTTACTGCTACAGACGAGAAGAAACATCAGTATTGAGACAGCGAGAAATGACAACATAGAAGCGGTGCCTCACTTTATATATCTTGGGTTAGAATTATCTGGACTGGGTACAGAGGAAGGAGAAGTCAGAAGGATATCAGTCCTGGCTAATAGAGCGTATTCTGCATTTGACCGACCGAGAAACCAAACTGCGTATATACAAAACAATGATTAGACTGATTGTAAGCTATGGGAGTGAGGCATGGACGCTGATGCAAAAGTCGGTGCAAAACGATAATGTCTTCGAGAGAAGGATCTTGAGGAGAATATTTGGGCCAGTTCGGGAGGAGGGTAGATATCGAGATTAAGATACAACCGCGAGTTGTATGAGATTTATAAACACCCGCCACTGGCGCAGTTCAGAATCAGATCAGAATGGGAGAAGCGAGAGTGCCGGGACAACTGATCGGTACAAGAATGCAGGAAGTGAGACCGAGGGGGCGGCCGATATTGAGATGGTAGGAAGCAGTCGACCAGGGCGCTAGGGAGATGGACGGGAGTAAGAGTCGGAGGAGAGATGCCAGGGACAGGGATGAATACTCTACAATGAAGTATGAAACTACGCTGCATACATGTCTAGAATTGCGTTGGCCTAACTTCTGATTTGAATAAAAAGTCTAGAATCGTATTGAACATACTCTAAATTGCAAGACAAAGTTCGAAAGTGCATAGGTCAGATCCCAGACATCAACAAAAAACCAGAAATTACACTGTCCAGACTCTACAATTAATTATGCAATTACGCTACAAACTTGTCAGGTATAAAAACGTTCTAGAATTTCAGCACATAAATTACAGATTTTAGACTACGAGTTGAAGTCTAAAATTACTCTGAATATAGAACAATAATGAGTACTTATGTACTATGTATTGATTAATCAGTCCAATATTACTTGTTTGTTATTATATTATTCTCCGATTATAGTTGATTTTTTAAACATCATTTTTACGTAGACCATCGTTCTGTATTGACCAGATATGATTCACCTTTGCTTGATTTTTATAGACCTAAAATAAAACCGATAAACTATGCTTTCACAAACTTTTACTTTTGATTGCTAAATGGATCCATCCGGAGATCAAGAAGTGACCAATTTCTTTCTATTTATACTCACATAGTTCAATTATTTTCATACCATTGTCCATTCTTCTATAAAGGCAACCTTTGAACTGATTATGCATTAGCAGAGATACATTGGCTGCGTAAGTATTTCTCCCTCAAGACTTCCTTAATAATCGTATCATTATGGTTATTGCGAGATTTGTTCCAACGACACTTTTGATTATATTATCAGTTGACGTTGTGATGCCTGCGCAGTTGAGAAATACTATTCCAACCGAACCGTGGACTAATCGTGGATTTTTTGTCATGCGTTCCAACGATTATCGAACAAGTTGAAAAAGTGATAACTCAAATTCATCCCCTAGTCTGGAGCAAGTACGTTTTCTCACGACATTTAGACTTGTCTATAACTAGAGCTGAAAGAAAAAAATATTGTTCACTAGAAAATTCTTCGAAGTAATTTTTTCATCGTGCATGGTGGCTTCCTCTGTCAATTTTGATAAAACTCAGACGGTTGGAGAATTTATTTTCTTAAATTTTAGTTTTACATGACGATGAAGTGGTTGTGGATGATACATCAACATCAGAATCAAAAGTTAACAGACCCTCATCGAGTTCTACACTCGATGGTTTTATTGATGTTTCATCAAAAGTTGAACCAGAGAAGCTAGATCAACTGTTTATGCTACAGGTACTCCATTTGAAATAATCACTGGCAATCATTTTTCAAACATTTGAGACCATCTTTCAAAATGTCAACACATTATTTATTATCAAATAAATTACTGGACTCCGAGTATGAAAAAGTTGATGCAGATAATAAAATGAAAATTCGAGAAGCGAATGCTCTTAGCTTACAGTGTGATGGTTGGAGCAACCAAAGAAACAAATCCATACTTGACTTCATTATTACTACGCCAAACCCTGTGTATCATAAAAGTTTGTCAACAAATATTTGTTGACATACTGCAGAATATATTGCTGAAAAAATCGATGAAACTTTGAGAGAAGTTAGTACTGAAAAATTCTTTGCTATAGTAGTGACAATGCTAAGTGCAATGGTTAAAGCAAGAAATATACTTCATGAAAAGTACAAACATATTCTGTTTATGTTCTGCAGAAGTAATGGCAGAATTGGCCCTTTAGCGATCTAAAGAAAGGTTATTTGGAAAACCATATGTTTTAAAATCCGTGGAAAAACTACACCCGTTGTATGGTGGAAGGGGACTTGTTTTGAGTCGACATTAAGTAAAGTCTCGGTCAAGACACTAAGTATGCCTGCGTCGAGTGCAGCAACAGAAAGTAGCTTCAACACCTACAACTTTACTCACACTGCGAAAAAAAATCGGCTTACGGCTGAACGAGCTGGTAAAATAACTTTCATTGCTCATAATTTAAAATTATTAGATTCTGCCACCAATGTGGAGGTTAATGAAGGTAATGAAGACCTTTCTGATATTGAAATGATTGAATGCAGTGATTTGGAAACTTTGCCAGAGTTGTTTGAAAATTCATTAGATTCGAACTAATAATTGTTTAATTTTTCTTACAATTAGTAATAATAATATTGGTTGTCTGTTCTTTTTTGTTATTTGTTTCAACGAATAAATTATTTTTTTATACCAAATATATTATAAACATCACAAATAAGTCCTCCATAGTAATTAATCCCATAAATATGAACCATGCCACTGTACGCTTTCACGAATGCGTGCATGGACAAACATGCGCTGAATAATGTCGTGTATTAAATTTGTGCAGTTGGAACAAATGTATGGTGTTCTTATGTATCTGTAATGCTTTTTTCCGTTGTTGTCAGGTGCAATTCAATATAACTTTTTCCCGAGGGTTTCGCGTGATTTGCCAAGTTTTCAATATAAGATACTTAAGAAGTAAATTTACACGCAGCTTTTTAAATTGTCAATGCCAAATGTTGTACTTTATCAATATCATTACCACTCTGGATGGTTTAATTTAATGTTTTGAGATTGTTTAAACTAGCGCCAATTAGTTTTTTATTTGTTAAAGCAATTGGTTTAGTCAGAAGACACGCTTTCATTAGTGTCTTAACGATAACTGGAGAATGGTCAGATGATAACTAAAACAAACACTCAATTTAATGTAGTTCAATAATATATCATTAATAACACAGAAATCGATAAGATCGGGGGTTTTGGCCATCTTCGAAAGATTGGCTGTCAGACGTGTTAACGACCGACTGAGTTAGCTAATATTATTTTTAGTAACTAAAAAATTTACGAAATGAACAGAAAGTTGAAGTAACCCATAAAAGAAGAAGGATATAGTACCCACTGGGCAATATTGACAACGAGTATTTCTAGGCCGAGAATTAATAGTTTATGGGCAGTAACCGACATATTACACCATGTACTTACATGAACTCTTGCAATATGCAGAGTGTATTCCAGTAACTTACATTTATTGGATAACCATACAATATCGTCTTAAATATGGATTTGTGTAACGGCAAACCTTTCAATCAACTTATTTTTACAGCTAGATTATTAATAAATTAAATTTATAATTTTCTATTTGCCATTCGCTCTAACCCGCAATTTCTTTACGTCCAATCTGTATAATAAATGGAGCAGTCTTAAAAAATTCATGTCCACGCATGTCATGTGTGTAAACCATATTTTAAATAAGAGCTGTGTATTTTCTTTCGAGTTACACATTTTTTTTATAAAAAGTCATTTGTCACGTTTAAAAATGTATTTGCAAAGCATTCACATTTTCAAAGGTAATAAAAGTATTTCAAATTAAGTTAAATTATTCAATCTATTATACACTACCCAATTAGAATGAATTCTATCTTTCATTCGATAATAATTAACTGTCTCTGGCCAACATGTTACATTTTGTTTATTTCGATTAACGCTTAGTTTGTAATCGACAATTTTGGCCCAATTTATTGTCATCGTAATATGCTACAATTCGGAAATTTAAAAGGTTAATTCACAAAATTAATTGCTTATTAGTTTGAAGTGCACTACAAACACGCATGCGCGATTATATCCGAAATCATTTTAAATTGGATCCTCTACACACAGCTTTTGCGAGCAACTATTAATAATTTTATAGTTTTAAACTGAACATATTAATTTAACAAAAATAAAAAGAATCTCATAAGCTATTAATAAATTTATTAATATCCCATTTGGTTGCCCCACAAAATTTTAAATCCCACCAAAATAATATTAATATATTTTTTCAGCTTTGTGTAATTTGGATTGTGGCCAACATGGTAAATGTGATTCTGGAAAATGTCGATGTGATCCCGGATGGACAGGGTCCAAATGTGAACAACTTCCATGTGACCCACGTTGCCAAGAACATGGTCAATGTAGAAATGGAACTTGCGTGTGTTCTCAAGGATGGAACGGAAGACATTGTACTTTACGTGAGTTAAATTTATTCAAACTTATAAAAATTTATTTCATCATTCACTTTTGAGTACGCCTTTTACTGTTCAAAAACTAATAAACCTGCAAAACAAGTCGGTTTTCATCACGTCTAACGTCGTCTAGGGTCCCTAAAACTTTAACGATTACCCGTGAAGTTATCTAATTTTGCGACGACGGCAGCTAGCACGCATATTGGAAATATATGGGATTACGACTTCCGTTTTATACACGTCGTACCGTTCGACGTTATATATCGAGGCCCCTCTTTCCTCTTCCGTCGAACGTTTAATATCTGAACTTTTCCCGTTGAATCGTTTCCGCCTCTTTCTGTTGAACGCAGGGTAGTTTCTCGGCAATGTTCCCCAACATAAGGGGTGGTTCGAAATGGGGTCGTGTGAATGCAAATTAAGTTTGTCGATTGGGTGTGTAGCAATAAAAGTTTTCATATCCAAAAAGTTTTGTATCTAACAATGCAAATAGAAAGTTACTTTAGGGGTTGGATAGAGTGATTTTTTTGGTGTGGTTTATGGTTACTTTGAGAGTTACCTACGGACCTAAGGGTGGTACAAAATCATTAATTACAATCCGGAAACGCGATATCCCCGTTACGCGATCTACCGGAGCGGGTTTCCGGATTTGCGATCTGAAAAATGAGCGCTTATACGAGGCGTTTAATTAAAAGTGCGCAGCCGGAGGCCCGCTGGCATCCCGTCGATGGCCGGGAATTGATTTTCCCCAGCTTTTATAACTTCCCCCCTCAGAACCATTCAATTAATACCACCGCCCCAGACGGGCTTCCGATGGCTCCGGATGAGCTCGAAAGCTGATTAATTCTTTCGGAAAAGATGATTTGGAAACACGATCCGATCGCTTACGCTATTTTTACCATTACATTTTCCTTTTCTTTTATTTTTTTCTGATATATTAAAAAGTTTTAATCCAAAACAATTACGTATGCAAAACACGGTTCAGATTTTGCAATTAAGCACCATTTATTCGAGGTCAGAACCCCAACAGTGGTTCTCTTACGTGTCCACAACGAGCGGTAATGTGTTTTTAAGTAATTATATTCAATCCACGTACAAAAGCACCGCACGGGAACGCAAACAAACGTAATATAAACCCTTTCCCTCATCGTTCTCCTCTTTCTACTTTTCCTCGGTTGTCGACGTGGCGACAAATCGTTTGATCGATAAGCCACCGAGAAACCATGTGACATGCAATAAGAGTATTTCTCACCACGAACCGATCACGTGTTAACTGGCAATTTAACTCTTTAAACTATTTAAAAAAATCCTCATACTAAACTTACAGAAATAAAAAAAAACCTTTTTATTGCGGAACAATGGATATTTAACTCGAAAATTTACGAATCTTTTTCTTATCAAACTTAAACTAAAAAATTCGACGTTATGAATTAATATAATAAGGATTTAATTTTTATTACCCAATTTTATTTTAATAACAAAACATGACATTGGTAATTTAACGATAGAAGGAGATGCAATCTATGAATTTTAGTAATAATAACTTAGAATACTTTCGTTGCATCGTTACAATATCAGTTTTCTACGTTTATCTTCTTTTGGTCACGATCATTAACTTTTTCTTGTTCAAATACATACTCTACTTTTTCTTCTTTTAATGCAACAGCCCGTGGTGGGCTTTGGCTTTCTCCACTATCCTCTTCTAGTCCTTTCAGCTTTCAGTAAACCTCTTCCAATTGATGATCTACAACATTTTTGCATCGTCTCATCTTTTCATGTCATGTGTGGTCTACCCCAATTCTTATACCTATCATGCTCGCCTTTCATACTCTACTGCTTCCTTGTTAATATCGATACAATCCATACTCAAGATTCATACTCCTTTTAGTGTTTGTTGATGTAGAGAAAATTAATACATTTGGCAGAATTTTTACAATAGCCTCATGGTTGTTATTCAAAACTTGTCAAATGAATAGCTGATGTTTAATATCACACGTCTTATCTTCTGAACGAATAAGAATTCCAAATTCAGGCACAGCACTTAAATAATCTGGTGGCAGAACTTCCTGTAAGATGGAGTATGTAGACTTAGGTATTTTACTAACAAGCTTTTCATAGAATATGGAAAATGCAGCTTTAGCGGAAGTTATTTTCTAGTACTTCTTTTCCATTCGATCATAACGACGTTTATTGTTATCGGGTCACTGCCCACAAAACCTAAGAGAAGATTCACATTTTAATTATCAAACCAAGAAATTAAACCCTGTTTTACATCAAGTGTAATTGTAATTCTTCAATTCTCTGCCAGAAGGCATATTTGAGTTTGATACACGACTGCATCTTACGGTTTCAAAGGCAAACAAATCATTTTTAAAGAATTGCAGCAAATCTTGTGATTGATGTGTCCCGGAACTATGACACTGAGCCGAACTGACGCCGAGAGCAGATGCATCTGAAGGATGTGTATTGCTTTGTTCACCAGCAAATATATCAAAATCATAGCTAGAAATTTTTGTAACCCATCTTCATCTATATCTTATCTAAGGATGCCGAATAGAATAGGACACACCAAGATACAATAACACACCATAAATAGACATGTAAGGTAGTATACCTACATATATGCAAACTGTTCTATAGATACCCTCTAAAAGATTCTAAAACCATTCTCGTATAGTTTGTCTAAACGCAATATTAATAGTAGACAACTAATGTTGTCAAAAACTATCTCCAGCACAAACATTTATCACGCAAATTCATATCTTAACGAAGAAGGAATGACATTATGACATAGGGTGTATATCATAAATTTGGTAACCAATCGATTCCTCAACTAACGCAACCTTTATATTGCCGCTATATAGATAGTTAGATTGTTTTTAACGGGTTTAAATTCATGTAGGAACTTTTTGTAGAAATACTTTGTTTGATAATATGTTAACCAGTAATTAAACTGTTTAATCGCTACAAAACAATCTTTAAAATAAACATAATGAAAGAACAAAACTTACTTATTTGGGGTACACGGTTGATATTGAGAAGAATTGAAAGCGATGGGTTTACCACGAAAATAGAGGGTTACCCTTTTCATCCAACACAAGACCGAAAACAAGCCGATATTCGACGTGACAATAGGAAGGGTAGGAAATGGGTTAATGCTAGGGATTGGAAGGTCGTCTTTAATTCTCTTCTTGTAAATCACCAGGTGTTAATTACTTACGCGCGTTTCAAGTCTTTGTGAAAACGATCAATGTACCGTGGAAAATGGACGAGATCTCTACAGTTCGTATCGAACGTTGGACAGACAGCACTTTATTTTAAATAAAACGTAAACCGCAATTTAATATTATTATTATTGTTAATAAATATTATTTTCTCAATTCACTACACTATATTTTACTGATCCTTTTAAAACATTGTTGAATTGCTTGAAATGTATCAAGACTCGGAATTTCACAGCAACATAATTCAGAAGGTACCAAAACTTCATGGCAATTCATAAAGTGTTAAAACTTATAAAGCAATTCTAACTTCACAGTACTTGATAACTTGGAAATTTATGCCTACGCACGTTACGCAGTAAGGTGATCTATATACTACATCAAGCAATGGTGCAACCATCCCACATCACAACTTTAATTACCAGGCGGAGTGAAAATGCAACATATGTATTTAAAAATATTATAAAAGAAATTAAATAATTAAATATACAAAATAAGCTAGCAGCTGGGATTTTCCTTTCCATTTTTTATAGAATATTTTAGCTTTGCCATTTTTCTCGATTTTAGTGATATCGATAATTTTTGATCTTTTATACTGGAAAATCCTGAAAATATACAGCGTTACTAACTCAGTTTGATGTTGACTGTGCCAGTATTAGTAGTGATCAAAGAGCAGAGCCATCCATCTTAGGATGTATATTACATACAATAAGCAACAAATCATCCAAAATGATTACGAATATCTCTGGTTTGATTCCCTGATTGATAAATGGAAAACATAATTTTCATAAACGCAATTCTCGTCTCCTGCGATCGCAAGATGTCTGCATTAAAAACGACTGAAAATAATTTATTGAAAATGAATGCTAGGTTTGCCGAGATTTCTATTCCAGAATGTATATGCTTTGAAGTAAAACGCCAAGTAACAGAATTATAACTTCATTTTCAATCATCTTTAATCACCATTCCAAGCTATTTCTGCCACAACTTCTCTGATCAAAATGTTCAGAAACTCATTTCTCAAAACAATGAATTACAATATCAATTGTTAAAAAATGATGCGGAATCTACATTAACAATTAACTTTTAATACGCTTGTGCCAAATAGAAGGTATCCTAAATTCAAGATCCTTGTTCGTGATAACTTTTGTTCAAATTCACGCGATTCTTGATCCGATTACGAAGTTATAAAAGATGAAAGCGTTTTCACGTCAGTTTCATAAGGATGATAAAATACTATCATTCTATAACAAAGAGAAAATTGTACAAAACTACTTCACAATTCAAATATACCACTATAACTGTAGCCATTGGAACAGAAGAGTAGTAACTGTTACTTAAAAGGGATAAAGTTGACTGACTTAGCGTTTATTTATAAAAATAAATATGAAAAATTTACAAGTAATTTAAAAATTTATATTCTTTTAGATACGCTCTTATTACTTATATTTTTCTTGTTAATCCGTCTTGTGACTTGATTGTATTTGTGTGGAGAGTGTGTAGATGTCACCTTTCAAAAACGTCTTGTTTAATGTGTTGAAGTAGACTAAATTATTACCATTTCATATTTTTTAATAGTTAGGGCAGAACTTATTATGCACCCTGTGGTGTTAATCATATTATTAGTGCAACATTTGCGAATACTAACGTCGAAAAAGAAAAAAGCAGAATAGAAAAAAGAAACACATTTTTACCTTTAGACAATGACTTTCAAACAGACTTAAAACATATGGATGAAGAAGTGGTTAAAGGTGAAAATGAAGAAGTGTCAACATAGGTAATAAAAAATGTCATAATGCCACATAGAAATGATAAAAAAACAGCTATTAGGAAAAAGGTTCTGTTACGAAAGAGCTTCAACAATGTAAATCAGCGAAAGATGTGTCTACATTTCATTGAACTCCTGTTAGGTAATATTGTGTATCAAAGCAGTCTCTATTCTACCCTGAGAGGTAAGATAATACAATCTAAGAAAGCAGGAACTTTATCATAAATGTAATCATGAAGACATTATTGGCCTGCTAAAAAGATTTAGAAGTTCCCTTAGTTTCCCAGAAAATGTCAATAGATCGATTTGATTCAATTTTATCATTGGCATGACAACCCTTTGTGAGACTTAGCCTGTTCCAAGATCCTCTTCCATTCCGACCTATTACGCATTCTGTTACGATAGTTAGTTATGCCTAGGGTCTGATATCTTCCTCCACCTGGTCCAGATAACGCAGCCTGGGCCGTCCTTTGGGTCTTTATCCAGTTGGTGTTTGTTTTAATATGTTTTTTGAGGTCTCTTCATCCTTCATTCTTACGACGTGTCCTAACCAACCAATGTAGGCAGTTTATTTTTATGAAGCTTACAATGTTGGGGTACTTGTAAACAAGGTACAGTTAAAAATTATAGCGTCTCCGCCATAAGTCGTTTTCGAATATTCCTCCAAATATATGCCTCAGAATTTTCCTTTCGAAGGTAGCTAGAGGTCTTTCATCGTTCTTGGTCAGTGTCCACGTTTCTGATCCATATGTCAGCATTGGTCGTAATAATATTTTGTATATGTAACATGAAATGGTTTTTCATGTCACGTATTTAGTGTCTATTATATATATATATATATATATATATATATATATTATATCTCAAGTGTCTAATTAGACCGTAATAGGTTTTATTTGCTAAAAGGATCCTTCATTTTACTTCATCGGAGATGTTGTTGTCTGCATTAACCAGTGTAACCCACATATACAAAATGTTTCACACCTTCAATGTTGTAGTCTCCGAAGTTTTGCGATTGTCTTGGGCTATTGGTGTGCATATACTTTGTCTTTGCTTTGTTAATTCTTAAACGACTTAGTTTCTATATAGTTATATAGTTATTCTTTCTATAAATTTTAGAGTGTAGATCTATGTTCCAAGTGAATTATTTAAAAATAAGACGAAAAACACTTCTTAACTTGCTATATTTATTAAATTTGAAGTCAAACTATTTTCGGGGCTAGCCCCATCCACAGTGTCAACTGAATTTAAAAGGAGAAAATACAATGTTAAAATCATTTGAGAAAATATTAATTTAATTTTGGATAATATTCAAGTTAAACTTACAAAAATATATAAAAATGTATATGACGAACAGAAGCAAAAACGAAAAAATGAAAAACTATTTAAAAAACACACTAAAACATGCTAAAAATATAAAATCCTAAAAACTACTTACTGTCAATAGAAGACTAATATCGTAAAGTGAAGATCATCAAAAGGCAATTGAATGCATGTATCTGAAGGGGATATAATGCGGTGTTAAACGTGTTCAGCAAATTGATCAAAATGGCGACAGCAAAAAAAGCTTTTATAAATTTGATTGTTTCGACCATATCCCTTTTTAATCTTGGGATTATATCCACGTTATCGTCTACAAAAACCAATATTTCTACAGACTTGCTCATGATTGAGCCCCGAATATTTATATCTGCTGCTCTTACAACCTTCTCAAAGGTGATGAAGCACACTAATTTCAAAGTGAGATTAGTGAGATAAGTTGCGTAGGTATGTTGAGGTTCTTCATGGCCTCGTGGTATTAGATATTCTCTAGATGATTCTCAAAATCGATGAAGAGGTGGTGGGTTTCGATGTTGAATTCTCTAGTTTTCTCAAGAATCTGCCTTAGCACAAATATTTGATCGATTGTTGATTTTTGACTGCGGAATCCGCATAAATAGCCACTTATAGCCCACTTGGCATATGGTTTTAGCCGTTCACAGAGGATATAGACAATATTTTGTGCCGTATTTAATAGTGTAATTGTTCTGTAGTTTGCAGCTGGTCACCTTTCTTGTGTACCGGTTCCTAAATTCCATTCTTGATTTATTGTTTGCATTTGCCAGATTTCCAGGGTCTGCTTTAATTTATCTCCACCCTCCTTAATTAGTTCTGTGGAGATTCCATCCGTTCCTGCTGCTTTGTGGTTTTTCAGTTTGTTGATAGCGCCTAGTACTTCGCATATTGTTGGCCAACTATTCAAAATAATAGCAATGATTTGTCAATCAAACAATACAATCCAATGAAACCCATCAAATGTAGTTACAAATTGTAGTGTCATGCAGACTAATATAGGGATTAATTACACATTTTGACGGTTACTAAAGATGCTGATATTTCTAAGAAATGTAAGCAGTTTAGCATAGGAAACTGAGTAGTTCTGTTATTAACAGAAAAGGAATGGTATAAAGCAAAAGTGATTGAATTCCAGTACTACAGATCCATGCAGTAAAGATTGCAGATGTTAGTCAGACCTTTGGGTTTGTTATTCAATGTACCGGTAGTTGTAACACAAAGTTTTAAAGAGCGATACCCACTTTTTTTTGTTCAACCTCACTTCAAATTATGTGATGCACTTAAGTACAGATAGTCAATATAGACAGATCAGATTGCTTAACTATTCGTAAAACTTGAGGGTCGGTCTTGACTTGGGTAGCCAAAATCTGTTGAGTCAATTTTTTAATCTAAACTCTGACCACATAATCTTTTCTAACAGAACATCTCTAAGTACGAGAATACGAGTATTTTAATTTTTTTTATCACAGCCTGATATTTTCAAATTTAACATTAAAGTGACGAATTTAACTATGTGAAAACGGAGAGAGTACTTAAGGTATTAATTACTAACGCCCTTTTTCAGCTGGTTGTGAAAATGGATGTTCCGGTCACGGCCAATGTACCATGGAAGATGGAATTTATCTTTGCGTTTGTATTGAAGGTTGGGCAGGATCAGATTGTAGCATTCCACTCGAAATGAAATGTAATGATGATGTTGATAACGACCACGGTGAGTTAAATTCAAAAAATACCTAATTTGAAATATTTTCTTTTACATAAACATTTTTTATGGTCTTAATTTAGATGGAATGATTGATTGTTCCGATAGCGAATGTTGTTCGCATCCATTTTGCGCCGATCACATAATGTGTTTGGCAAGTAACGATCCGGTTGAAGTTCTTTTAAGAAAACAACCCCCATCGGTAACCGCATCGTTTTATCAAAGGGTCAAGTTTCTGATTGAAGAAAACTCGGTGCAATCGTACGCACACATGGACGAGTACACCGAAAGGTAAGTGGAGCTGAAGGGCGGGACACCTTTGATCAGTGTAGAGCTTATAATGTGTTTTTTTAAAAAACCGCTATAGATTGGGAACAAAAACACTTTATTCAATTTAAAGGTTTTTTAAAAGGAGGTGAAATTTTTGTTGGGATTCTTTAAATTGTGATAGAGTGTTTGTTAAACCCGAATAAAAAAATACAAGCAAAAATCCAAGAACCAGCTTGTAGTAGAAAAAAAGCCACAAGTGCCAAGTATATTATCCAAAAAAAAAGAAAAGAAAAAAGTTAAGTAAAGCTCTGCACGTTGAGCGGAGATTCCCGGTCGCTTTGCTCGGGCACCGCACACTATACCTCTCTATTAATTATAATTAATCAATTAATTATATAATACTACTGCGGCGCCCACCTTTCTCTCTTTCTATCTCTCTCTTATCTCTCTATCCCAGCAACACCCTGTATAACACACTCAAAAACACCGCCTCCCTCCGGAGGAAACGGGCGAAAGAAAGGGACAAAATAATCATCGCCCGGCTCCTCCACCTTTTCTCTGTGTCTCGTCTTTAAACCTCTGTGTGCGTCAACCCGTCTCTTAAAGCCCGAGTCTGTCTTTCGCTCACCAAGAAATAATAAAACGTGTTTAAAAAAAATTATACAAGGTGATCGAGATTTAAAATAATTTAAAATCAAAATCAATTTTTAGTACAAAATTTTATTAAAAAAATTAGATTATTATATTTAATTTATTTAATTATTAGGTCGATTGTATAGTTTTTATTAACTTGAAATTAATTATCAAATCATAAGAAAAAAAGGTATCTAATTATTATTTCATAGAGACGTAAATCTTAAAAGAAAATTTAAAAAAATTTTAAATAGGTATGTATTGACGATGGTGGACACAAGTTTGGCAACCAATGTTGTTTCACTCACTAAGAAAATTGAATCATTAAAATTAAAAATCGTGTAAAATACATCAGAAACGAAGTTTTAAAGGTTTTCCTTTAGTTTTCTTTGTGTGTCGTCCACGTTCTCTCATCACCCAACGTTTTTGTCTTATTAATCGTTTTTTCTCCTTTTATTATACATGTAATAAGTATTCTAGGATTAATCTTACGGTTATTAAATATTGTATTTCAAATAAAAGGAAAAACCAACAAAGTTTTATACAAAATTCTAGAATACTTGTAATTTTTAATTTTTTTTGTTTCCATATTTACGCCTCCCGCTAACTTGTGTCTGTCATTGTCTTGTAGCTAAAAGTACAATGTTCGTTTTGTACATGCGTCTCTTTGTTTTATGTTTATAATTTTTATCATTACTTTTCCATTTACTTTATTTATTTTACCTTTCGTGTCCGCGTCCGTAATAAAAAAAAAAAGTTTTGTTGTTAAATTGGCGAATTTTGTTTTTTGGAAAAGAAGTGAAAGAGAAAATTTGAGTTTTTTTGTTATTATTTTATGTGTTTTAAATGAGTAAATGCTTTTGGATGGGTTTTGGAATTGAATGAAAGTGTCGAATTAAAAGAAATTAATTAAAATAAAGAGAAATTAGACGAAAATAAAAAATCTGAGACGATAACGAGAAAACGAGAAATCATTACTTTTGTGTGTTGTTTTCAACCAAGTTGCCGTGTGGTTAGTAATTATTGTCCTTGTCTTCTGTGTTCCCTATGTCGCTGCTGCAACCTCACTTGTAGCGAGTTCTGGAATTCCTTTACACCGCGGTAAGTGGCAGCATTACCACCCAAATTGTATTGTCTGTCTGTACGTCTGTCCATGTGCTGCCTGTTTTTTCATTTATTTTTTTTATCATTAATTATTATTTTTCGTTTTTCACTTGTTCGTTATTTTTTTCTTTTCCCCTCAATTTTTTAGTTCTTTTTGAGTCATTAATTACCTCTTATCCCTCTCAATTTGTCTATCTGTCTATCTCTCTATCTGTTGTATGTTAAACGCTTCTTATGGTTTTTAATCCCTTTTTATTCAGACCACTAGCTGCCGAAACATAAACTTATAAACAAAAATTAATAATAATTTGATGAATGCGGGTGTGAATGTAAACAACGAGATGTCATTTCAATATGATTGATATCGATGAAAAGCCCGGTGCCATCCGGATGTGACACAAAACAAGGATTTATATCGTTTCTGATCATTCCCGGTGGTAAGTGCGCGAATACACAAATCAATTGTAAGCACAAAGCCGAGGTATGTTATTGATCAAAGACCAAACTCGGTGCAGACTAATCCATATAAATTAATCTATAATATCATTAGTTTCAAGTCAAGCCTAATCGAATTATATGCGATACAACAACGTTCGCCAGCCAGTGGTCGATTTACCTTTCAGTTGCAATTGAATGTTGCCCGCTGTAACTCTAAGCTATGCCGTTGTGACATGTTCCGTATACGATTCATCAATCTTTATCATCATCATCAACATCATTATCACCATAAATCCGTTCGGCCATTTATCATTAATTTAGTAAAAAAATAATAATTAATAAACACCGATTATACAATTTTTTAAAATAAAACACAGCAAAATTAATTCTTAAACAATTAAGAATTAGTTTAGCAAAAATTAAAATACTCGACACATCTCAACACACGTTCTTATAAATCATTCAAAATATATTAGTTAAAAAATTAATTAGGGGTAGGTACTTCGTGTTTATCGTAAAAAAGAACTATTTTTTAGATGCATTTTTATAAAAATTAAAACGTACTGTATAAGTACTTAAATCGTAATAGACAAGAGAAACAACATTGTACACGTTCTACCAAAAAAAAAAAGGTTTCAAAAAACCTTCGTTTTTCTTTTTTAAATATTTACAACAACAACAAGTATTTATATTCTTTTGACGGCTCGGCCGAAGAATCCCTTCTTCCCCTGTCTACGTGTCATTGTCAGATTGACCAGTTCAGTATTGACCTCTGTGCTACCTTTCCTTGACTTGCCATCAATCCACACGCCCACAAAAAAATTATTAAAAAAAAAACTACTTTGCATCGTTGCATTATGACCACCAATTATTTTTAACACTAACTATTTAAATTTTTTTTTTATCTCGTCGAAATGATTATGGTTTTTATGTTCATTCAGATTCAATCTTAATTACATCAATAAAATAAATTCATTTGTAAAGAGCGCAATGAACTCTTTTAACTAGCTTAATGGAAACTTTATGAGACCCCATTAAATATAGATTGAAAAACGTGATCTTAGCTGGGGTCATTTGTAACTTTTGTAACGAGTTATAACTCGTGCGAGCAAGTAATTGCTGGATGTGAAAACCATCTCGCTTCGACGACAAATGGTCTAGTTTTTTTTTTCTTTCCGTTGAGTTATCTCTCTTATTCTTTTTTTTTGAAAGTATTTTCAACGAATCTCAAACTTTATCTCTCTTTTTTTGTATTTATTTTTAAGTTAAAAGTGAATTTTTCAATTATTATTATTAAATCGTACTTGTAGTGGTGGTTATTTTATTATTTTTATTATTACATTAAATATGCCTGCTCTACTTTTATAATTCCATCATTTTAAATTTAAAGAATACGCGTTACCGTTGCAATAATGATTGGTTTTGGGTGTAATAGTAAAGTTGTTGTTACCAAAAATGCTCTTTCCGTTCAAAGCGAATTCATCGTTCGAAACAAAAAGCTCGACGAGGTTCGGAAATCCCCAGAGATAGTCGCTCCCCGGGCGCTAGGTAACAACGAAAAGCTCTCGAAAGCATATACCCGAGCCAAAAGCTCAAAAAGCTCACTAGATTTGAACAAAATACAAAAAAAGGAAATGGAAAAAAGTTAATCGGGAATTTCCGATGTCATTATTGCAACGGTATCCGTACAGCTTTCGTCCTCCACACCTACTACTATCTATATATACCATACGAGCTTTCGATCGACTACTCTACAAATGCATGGAGCTTTCGGACGGGGAGCGTTGAGCGGACACGCGGTGAGCTTTTGACGCTTTCGAATATTCGATCAGTTTATATCGGTCGTCATGCAGTGATGAGAGCTTAAATTCTCTCAAAAGCTCTTTCGAGGGTCCGCTTTTTGCTCCAATGCGACTGTTTTAGTTTTTTAACTTATTTAATTTTTATTATCAATGCCACTTTCTTCACTATTCTTTATCTCTCGCTACTTTTCTTGGTAATATTTATATTATTACTTATAAATACATATGATGTTTTAGTTCTTTTGGAAACTGTTTTTATTGTGTTTGACAGCCGCGTTGCCGTTATGAGGGGCCAGGTTGTTACTCCCCAAGGACTTGGAATCGTTGGAATCAGAGTTTCTGTCGACAGGGAATCTAGATTTGGATTTACATTAACAAGACAGGGTGGATGGTAAGTTTAAAATATAAATGAATGTGATACGTTTGTAAGTTTTTATGGGTCAATTCATATACTCAATGTAGATACGTCCATAACTAATGTTAAATGACATAATGTGTATTTAAAATCGCTGTCAAAAACTTTCTGGCAACACATCTATCAGAAACGAGTTTAATTCGTTTCATAAAATTTTCATAGTTGAGCTGCCATTTAACTTTAAAATTCCGGACGGCCATAAAGCGGTAAAGCCATAAAGTGTGACATTGCGGACACTAAATGATACAAAGTGATTAAATAAAGTGATGAAATTATGATATAGTGAGACATAAAAGATATATCTAGTCTAACTAACCCTTTAAGAACTGGCTAAACAATGTTAAAATAAAACAAATTAATTGTTAGATAAAATCTTATTACATTAAGATTCACTTCCTGATTTTTGCAAACAAATAGTGTATTGTGCATATTAGACAAGATAAAGAATAATTTTAGTTTTAATGCTTCAAGGTCATTAGCACCAACATAAAACAATTCCATCATTAATAACCTTAAAAGTTAATAAATAATTCGATCACAAGCTATGCAACAACCCTATGAGTATCCGCAAGCATCTTGTAGCTTAGTTATCCTAAAAAAGTGTCTTTAATTTGCATATAGTTTAGAGTTCAGCAAAAAGTGCGCTACTCCCAGAACAACCCCATAACCCAGATAAGATGGCCCTTGGATAAGATGGATAAGATTGGATATGTCTGAGGTGTAGTTTGGAAACCTTGTTCTGCTAGAGAAGAAAAATATATCAGAATGATATGCTTTGAGAAGGTGTTGCCTAAATGCTTACAATAGCCATCAACCATCTCGCGTCTTTTAATACTTACACAAGAAGTTACCAAATTCTTTTTCTACTTAGATTAATTCCTTAATTATTCTTAACTAGACTATTGGTTCATCAAATCCTATTTCCTGTAGTGATTTGATATTACCAATAGAATTGGAGATGATAACAAATGCCTTTTTGACTGCATCCATTCGTGTAAGGCTTGAATATATCATACAATTTCGCAAAAATCCATGCAAATGAATAGCTTCAATAGCACGCCCAACATCCGATTTAATTTTAGATGCATCCGTATACATACAAAATGATTCAGTGTATACAGGCTGTCCCGCAACGATTGTACAATACTTCACCAGCGTATTCTCTGATCAAAAATTGACAAAATAAGCTTAATAAAAAAAATGTCCGAAAATGGTCCACTGTTGAGATATTCAAAGTTTTAGTTCCATAAGTTGACCTATTGTTAACATCATTAATTCAATTTTTTTATAATAATTAACCCCTTCATGTGGAATTAAAAGAAGCAGTTTTGGGAAGCAGTGATGAAATCTTTCTAATGAATCAACCAGCATTAGAAAGATTTCTGTACAAGAAAACAACAAGGGAGCAGTTGCTTTATCTGTATCACTACAACACTTTTCAAGCTTTAACAGAAAATTATAGCAAAAAACAACAGATTTTTTGTAGATGAGCCATACAAGTGGTACTAAACGTTCCATAAACATTGTGTTTACGAAAGAAGTAACATTTACTCAAAACAGAATTCTTAATATCCATAATACGCGCATTTTGAGTGATGACAATCTCCATGCAATACTAGAAACTCATTATCAGTGGCTATCAGTGTTAATGTATGGACCGGAGTTGTAGGTGACCAGTTATTAAGTCCGTTTTTTTATTCCAAATATTCATTTTGATTGACAGATGCTTCCATATTTTTTTTACAAAATGAGCTTACTGAGGCATTTGGTGAACTACCTCTGCAAATGCTTGCAAAGCTTTATGCACGATGGAGCAACAGCACATTATGCACGTGGTACTCGTATGTACTTAGATTACGGATTTGATAGTAATTGAATTGACCATGGTCCTGTTACGTGGCCATCTAGTTTACCATTTTTAAATCCGTTAGATTTGATGACATTCAAAACAAATAGTTTATTCTGAAGAAGTTTAAAATGTGCATTAATGATGTTAACAATAGGTCAACTTATAAAACTAAAACTTTGGTTATCTCGAAAATGGACCATTTTCGGACCTATCTTTATTAGACTCTTTAGTCTATTTTTGACCAGAGAATACGCTGATGAAGTATTGTACAATCATTGCGGGACAGCCTGTATAAAGATTATTGGTCTAATCTCGTGGGTAAATAGTTCTCTAGATATATTGTTTTTAGAAAAGGTAGAAAATCATCATGCGGGTCCTGGCCTCCCAAGATTTCCTCCTCCATTCATCCTTGTTCTGTGCAGCAATCTCTAAATCCAACCTTGGCCGCGCCCTCTTTATCACGTCCTCCCACCTGACTTCAAGCTTTCCTTATTTCCCTCATCTTTGTGGTTTAGCTTGCATGATCCTACTCGATACACATGTATCTGGTACTCGTTCTACATGACCCATTGCAATCGCATGACCTTAATTCTAGTCATGCCATCTAATACCTCGTGTTTTCCCAACAGTTAGTATAATTCAAACTTCTATCATCGCCATGTTCCGTTCTCATACATCTCTTTGAGAATAGATGACCAAAAGATGTTACTCTCGAAGATGAGTAGCAGGTCAGCGTCTCCCCTGGTAATAATCCATGTCTTCAAAGCGTACTTAACCACGAGTATAAGGGTTTTGCAAATTATTAACTTTGTTTTCCTACCCATGGTATAACTTTGTTCTGACTTCTATTCTCACTTCTGCGCTATAGTTACTTTTCAAGATACGTATACTCCCGCACTCAACTCCCACATACCTTAAAATTACACTAACAACATTTTGAAAACCAGTATTAAGTAGTCTAAGCGTAACACTCATGAATGTATACACGAATTATCGACATATAATGATCGTTAAATGTCTAAACAGTGTACGTCCATGAAATGCACTTTTTGTAAGCTGAAAGAAATGCTCTTTGTTAGAAAAGTCTGAATAAAATAAAGTAAATTACCCCACATAGCTCATACATGCAATTGGTCAATAACACCATATAACCTTATCATATAACTTTTTGAACAGCATGTTGTTGTGTTTAACACAACGACACAAAACATCGCTGACGCATACTAAAAGCACAAATCATAATTCTGGGGTACATCGTTAGGAAAATCCAAAGATAGTTTGTTTGTTTCTTTGTGACCAAAAATTTAAGATTGTAGCTATCGTTGGCACCGATTCCGGAAAAATACTAGCCAGTATCTCTATTATTTCAATTATAGATGATACAACAGTCTCCTCTAACTTGAGGTGCTTTCTTTTAATTGAACGAGATTATGGCAACGTTAAGGATAATAGCACTTGTGCGTTCCACGAGGGAATAGTGTTTCCAGCAGCACTTAAAATCGATCGATCGAAGGAACTGACAGCAGCCTCGATTCAAAATGAGTACTAATTGAAAGCTTACTATTACTAGAAAAGTTTCCACCTAGAAAAAGGTATAACAATTTCAAGAAAAGATATTCCCGAATTTATGGCAAAGACTTCCAATATGATCAGAACACTATCATCTCAAATTATAAGATGAAGAAAATGAATTTTTAATAGTTTAAATTAGTAAAGCGATAAGCGAGAAACAACGAGAAAATCCCTTTAGGGAATTTAATAATTTATGTTTCAATCGAAAGTATGGCTTACATTGAATAAGAATGTCGAAATGTTCAATTCGTTATACAAACCTAATTAAACACTTTCACTTACCGAGACTGTTTCAATATCCGATTAAAAAGCCTAAATTATTAAGATTAAAAATCCAAGAATTCACGATGAACTCTAATTTCTTTATTGTAATCTGTCAGTGTTATAATGTACTAAAGTATTTTCCCCACATACAGATTTCTTTCTTTTTTTTTATAAAAATTCTTATAAATTTCTAAAATCTTCCCGATTGGTAACCACTTACAATTAGTGCAATACAATGTTGGTTCCAATACATGATATCTATCACCTAATTACGTTAGACGTTAGTAGAGTTCATTCATGACTTCTTCTTCCTCTGAGTATGTATTCGTCTCTTTTATTGGTGTATCAACCCTCTTCGTGTTTTGATGGGTATAATCATTAATCATGTTATAATATGTGGTATATCAAGATCTAATTATAATCAGCATATTTTCGCAATTTCCCACCAATTTAGATCCAATGTTGCAGTATTAATTTTAGCTGCACTTAAATTCCTTTTTTTAATTTCTCCCCAAAAATTATAATTTCTGCTGGTATACTTCGAATAAAGCCCGTTCTCTATCTTTTGTTGTTTACGTTATCATGTTCATCTTGTGATGATTCATTAAAAATGTTTGATCAAATTGTAGTTTAAAATTCCAAGGTAATCCTAAATTTGACAAAATTTATTAGGAATTTGAAAAATTCCTAATAATGACAAATAAATGAAGATAATGAAGGTTACAAGAATTATTATATATTATCACATCTATCTAATCTATTAAATTTTTATGGATGACATACCTTAATGTTAGATTATTATCAGCAACAATCTATAAATGTAGCGGACTAATCTATTATGATAATCGTTGTTTTTTTTAGTCTCACCCATGGCATGTTTTGCCATTAATAACAAATCTGATAAAAGCAAGTATAGTAAATACAAATTGACGAAAACTTAGATCTCAATTCCACTTTCTTCAGCGCCTTTCTTTTCCTTTTCCTTTGATATCAATTATTCAAACTCAGAGTTCAGTGTTTGGAAGAATCGAAAGAATATGCGATGGGTATATTTTCATGGTTTAAATTGTTTATAGAACGATGCTTAACCGTAGAATCACGTTCTCCTGAAATTAAGTACTTTATACGGTTTATTCAAGTCATTTTAAAAAAGGAGCATCGGGCATCTATATGCTGAGGGCTTTCGCATAACAAGTGTTGGTAATCTTGGGTCAATAGTTGATTTTCACTCTCACACATTATCTGAAATAAAAAGTTGACAATATGTTTTAAGTCAACATTCCATACCGTT